GTTATCTTTTCTTATTCTTTTTTGTCTACTCCTGTCATGAGACAAATTCAAAACAATCAAAATGGTATGTGTCCGTTGCAAGCTATCCAATTAGAGGTCATTCAGAGGCCACGTCCTCTGTGGGCTCCAGAGAGGATAAACCATCGTTCGAGGAATACACTGTGTTTGATGTGTCGGGACTGACCTTCGGAATGCGCGAAGGCGCACCTCCACAAAATGTGGATGGTTAGTTCAGCTTTCCCGTCACCCAACGGACACACTAAGATTTTTCTGGCACATGAAGACACTTAAGTTTCGCGCATACACCACTGTTTTTGCTTCCCCTCAGCTTCAGCTGAGCCGGATGATCAGAAATGCACTGCTTATCGGCTCCTTCCGAGCAATCGGGTTGAGGACGAGGCGAGTGGGGACGTGCAACCATGAGCTTCAGTTCACAATCTCCTGCTGAATTCGAATTAGCAGATACCAAAGTGAAGGAAGGGAAATCAGCCCAAGGTAAACAGTGCAAGGACAAACAAATACGTATGTTCGAGAAATTGTTTTCCATGTCTCGCTGCTCTAGTAACACAACAGAGAAGAGTAATCCATCTGCTAGCTATTGCAGCGTAGTCAGTTTATCAGATAGACCGTTAAGTGAAGAAAAAAGTTATCTTTTAGAGAAAGGACTGGATTTTGCAGTAAGCAGAAGTGTTGTAAGGGTGGAGGAGATCATTCATAGTATTGAGTCCGTATATCAGAAGCTCCCTGCAATGGAAGCAGAGAACTTACGTGTACAGTTGGCCACAGTCTTGAAGTCCCAGTAACCAGAGCCTCCTAACATTGCACCAGCTGAGCAAAGAGCCTTAAACACATCAAAATATGTAGACAGTATAACAATTACAAAGCCAGATAAAGGCAAGGCCACGGTCGTCATGAATAAGAGTGACTATGTGCACAACCACTAACCCACCGCTACGCACAACGACGCTCCCCAATAACGAACTGATGATGTCACCTCGATTGGTTATGAAACGTTTGCAATCAATTTGCCCAGCTCAGCGAACAAGCCAACGACCAAGAGTGACTATCTGCAGAAAGTTAGACAACACGTAGCTGGTGATCCTTACCGACGAATTAGTAACGGGACGATTAAGTCAATAATGAATAAGAGTAAAGTTGAAGTTGGAGGGCATCAAAGATCCGTGATAAACCATCTGGGACAAAGCAAGTGGTATCGATCGTACCCAAAAAGTGCAATCCAACCACGACTTTACGGGTTACCAAAAATCCACAAGAAAGGTGTCCCCATAAGACTGATAGTGGATGGCATGGGTTCACCACCACATGAGCTGGCCAACTTTCGAGTAGCATTCCAGAAGGGAAAGACTTTACGCTAGGTGTTGGTGCATTTAAAGGATCGCCTTCCGGTTGATAGGACTAGGAACTGTGCATACACAATAAAATGTAACGACTGTACGAAGGTTTATTTAGGTCAGACAGCCAGGGAATCACACGCCAGCATCGGTGAGTATAAGTGGTCCATTAATAGGCCACCGGGAAACGTAGATGAATATCAAGCGTTGGTCAAAGTTTTGGCAATGGCAGAGCGTGCACTAGACACTCGGAATAGGATAGATTTGAAAAGTGTGGACATTCTGGGACGGGGCTCAAATTCACACAACAGCGAATGGTGGCCGAGACGGTAGAGATCACCAAGCATCCCGCCGTAATTAGAGTAGAGGATGTAGAAATTGCGAGCGTTTGGAGAGCTGTTTTAGACCAGCCGATATGACACGAGATGGTGTGCAGTCATCAGCGAAATGGTCTGGATCTGAAAGTATAAAACCTAACTAGATTGAAATCCAACTAACCACCCCCACCCAACAACCCCAAACCGATTCTCCCGTCACCCCTCAACGAACACGTGAACAAAATCTGTGAGCAACCACAAGAGCAGTATTCCTCTAAGGTGCTCTAGACTGAAAAAGCTAGGCCGAAAAATCCGTTTTCATCATGAAGACAAATCCTCCCCCCTAACCAATCTATCGCAAATGTTAGTCATCCCCACTAACCAACAAAAAGGATTATCAGACTGAACATCAACTGAACCCAGCACCGATCAAGTCGGCTAGTCATAAGGAATCTCACGGATTGGTTCCCTGACTGCTTTAAAACCCAATCAACTTACTTACTTACTCACTTGGCCTGACGAAGCTTTTGCCTCAAAAACTAAACGTTGCCCAGTAATAAATTCACCGATTGTTTACCAAACCTCTCTGAAATGATGACTACCCAGTCGGCCCCAAACGTTTTTCATTTGATTGAGGGCATATCCTTTCTTTCTATTCCCACTCGAAAGAACAACCAGCCGACGGTAACTGATGCGTTAGCCATCATCTCAGCTCACAGTTCGACCCATGAGTGTGTTGCTCCATCCCTAGCTTAATTGCTATCTATTTCGATCAGAGGAACTCGCTTTGGATGAGCACAAACGTAGGGAATGTTTGCACATCACTTTTTCGGTTTCGCCCTTCTTGGGGCTCATCTGGTAGGCGCAGTCTCTGAGTTTCCATCAACCTCATGTTCTACTTGGACCCAAATTACACCGTTTTCGAGAACTACACTCATTTGCAGGTCAATGTGATTTTCACGAGAGACTCAACTGAATCTCTCGTTTATGATATTCAAAAACTGAATGTGCTGCACGCAGGTCGCCTCATGATTCGGTTGGCACGATATTCGAGATATCACAGTATACTTTCATGAAGGAAATTATTCACAAAGTTGTAGAATATCATAAACGAGAGATTCAGTTGAGTCTCTCGTAAAAACCAAATTGATTTGCAATTGAGTGTATTTCTCCATTAGAAAATATTCACGTAAGAAATTTCACAGTCACCTTTCTAAAGTATGATGTATGCACTGAATGTATTAATGTTTATCACACTTTCAAGGCTTCATTAAAGTAATTACATTCCGAAAGACTTGACAGTTTTCGACAACTCATTTCAATGCATTATCCGAGTGTTGGCCAAAGAGGCACAAACGCTGGTTAATGTATTAGTGTTATATTAGTTAAAAACTATGGATCGCTTATATACCTACCCACCTACCTACCTACCTACCTACCTACCTACCTACCTACCTACCTACCTACCTACCTACCTACCTACCTACCTACCTACCTACCTACCTACCTACCTACCTACCTACCTACCTACCTACCTACCTACCTACCTACCTACCTACCTACCTACCTACCTACCTACCTACCTACCTACCTACCTACCTACATACATACATACATACATACATACAAACATACATACATACATACATACATACAAACATACATACATACATACATACATACAAACATACATACATACATACATACATACAAACATACATACATACATACATACATACAAACATACATACATACATACATACATACAAACATACATACATACATACATACATACAAACATACATACATACATACATACATACAAACATACATACATACATACATACATACAAACATACATACATACATACATACATACAAACATACATACATACATACATACATACAAACATACATACATACATACATACATACAAACATACATACATACATACATACATACAAACATACATACATACATACATACATACAAACATACATACATACATACATACATACAAACATACATACATACATACATACATACAAACATACATACATACATACATACATACAAACATACATACATACATACATACATACAAACATACATACATACATACATACATACAAACATACATACATACATACATACATACAAACATACATACATACATACATACATACAAACATACATACATACATACATACATACAAACATACATACATACATACATACATACAAACATACATACATACATACATACATACAAACATACATACATACATACATACATACAAACATACATACATACGAAAACAAGTATCGAGAAATATAATTCAAATTTTTCACAGAATTTTCAAAGAAGTGACTACACAGTGAATAAAATGGACCTCAAGAACCATACTGCTTCATGCTATATGCGGACTGAAGCGCTCCATATTATATTTATATCCCTTTTGAAGACAGTAGATTTAGCTACGAACATAGCTAACAAGAAGCCATAACAAGAAGCAGTATTTTCAGCAGTCAAACTGGTGGACTAGCGACATACGGTAAACTAGGAGTTTAATGTTGTCCGAAAGATCCAGAGTGCAGTGGGATGGCGATTTGTGTTGATTCAAAAATGAACAGCCAAGAATCTAAAGCTGCTCGCGAGTCGCCGAGATAATTGAAACCATTCGCATTGCGCATTCTACTTGTGTCCTAATTCGAAATTCTTACTACCATTCACCAAATTGGTTGCTCAACCTTGCTGCGTACTTGGTGTTGTATTGACCACGTTTGTCGTATTCAGATGCAGGTGTGTGGGTGAGGACATGTTTCTGGCTGCAATACCTCGAAAGTTCTACGAAATAGCTCACGTCGGTGGCCCCATAGAGTAATAGTTTATGCGTACAGGACGTAACAGCTGAGATTATCTTGTGAGCACACATTTCAAAAAAATAAAAGTGAGCGGGTTGCTTATTTGTTATCCACGTCTATCAAAGTAAATTCGGAGGGTTGATAAATTTCCCACATGCGGTCGTGGTCCATTTTCATATACATTCGCTTGCATGGGTTCGTGTCGAACATTGTGAGAGCAAAAGTATTTGCTTTCCAGCATTTTCCACATCTAAAAACCTAAGTTCCCCAAATTACGGTTTCGCCCCAGGTACAGCATGTACGACAGTGTACAAAATTTCAATAACTGTTTCGTTGTCGAATGGTTCTCAATAACTTAAGATTCAACAGTCCCACTGGACATTTCGAGCTCTTGCCTGATGTAGTTTGCCAAGTGAAAACATAGCAACTATCGATTTTTCCACGAAAATGTAACAATACGTATTGTCATAGACCCACCGGTTCCAAGGGAATCAAACGTACAGGACGGATGGAATACAGACCCAGTCCAGCAATTATGCATGCAAAGGCAACAAAGTAAAGGTAATGAAACGTAAGCTGGAACACGAATATCCCCACAATGAGGCCATAAACGTCAGCGGTGAGAAGGGACAGGTTGATGGTAACCGCACTGACCCGGGTGATCGTGAAAGCCATGAGCGAATCCAGAGTGAACACTGCACAGACGTAACCAGCCAAGCAAATCCCAGCCTTGATCGGTACCAGCTTTCCAGATAACGTATGCATGGTAAGAAGCTCAGTGAGCTTCTCGTGTTCCATGGTTGCACAGTAGAAACCACACAAGACGGAAGTCACCATGCTAACATTTGCCAGAGTATTGACTGCTCCG